CAGACAGACACACACACACAGACAGACACACACACACAGACAGACACGTGGAGACATTAAGGGCAGCAGTCAACATGGTCCAATCCAAGAGTCACATAATCACAAGTCAAATTGTGTAAAAAAATTGCTAAAAATATTCATTTAAGAAAAATACAGATCACTTTTTAAAATAAAAAAAGGACCAATGAACCCTCCTTTTAAATGTTTTGTTTGTACCCAAATAAAAGTCCTGTCATGCTGCTGACAGTTTCCAATTCAATTAAAAAGGCATCGATTTCTTGTGTCCTCCAGTCTATTCCAGTGCATGCTGGACTCAGTGCCACGATCCAACTCATTAAACCTTCCCAGTTCAAGGGACAGTTCTCAGCAGGCCAGCGACCACTGTGCTCTCCCTTTGCCACATGCACCCTCTTCCCTGGCTACATTTTAAACCTTTTCTCCTTCGGAGTTTTTTTTTTATTTTTGCTTAAGGCATTTTTTTTTTAAAAAAAAGAAAAAAATGAAAAATAAAATCTTGCTCTACAAGCTGGTTTCCCTTCCCAACTCCATCCGATTTCTTTACTCCTCCTTCGGATTTAGATTGGATACATTTCTTGCCAGCGATTTCCTTTTTCTTAAAAAAAACTCCCCCGTTGCTGAGACAAGTGGGGGTAACATCACGGCACTGTTCGTTTTGGTTTTGTTTTTGGTTCCTTTTGGTTGCTTATTGTTGTGGTTGGCACTGGCCAAAATGTCTCTCTCCTGCTGCCTTCCTCAACCAGCTCACAGCGAAGATCCCAGCTGCATGACATGTAAAGCTACAACTGGTTTGTATGTGCTTTGATACCAGAAAAAGAATGAATTTATTAAATAATGTACAAAGTCTTTGTCTTGTTAGGTGCCCAGTGGAAGATCTGAAAGGCTCGCATCTGCTTCTGCCACATCCTGTTTGCTGCCTCGCGCTGACTCTTCTGCCAGGTCCTGTTTGCTGCCTCGCACTGACTCTTCTGCCAGGTCCTGTTTGCTGCCTCGCGTTGACACTTCCGATGTGTGGTCTGGGCTTTGGTTGGATCCTTCCTTTGGAGGCTGGGACCTGAATAGGATGGGCCGATAGTTAGGGGGTGGCTGATACCTGCTCTCTGGAGTACTGCTCCCCGAATCCCTGGAACTGCCCTCTTCAGCAGACGAGTTGCCCACCTCGCTGTCGTAGGCGGGCAGTGGGGCCATGTAGCTGCCCCTTCCCAACTGCCTCGAGTAATGGGCTTGGCCAGCCTCGATGGTCTCTGAGAATTCCGAGAAGTCAGTGTCTGTTGCCTCTGGGCTGCTACAGCTGTGCATTTCCTCATAGGAGCTGGCGTTAGCGCTCAAGGCCTCCTTGGGCTTTGTAATGTCCAGCAGGAAAGTATCACCCACATTGCTTCTGTCTGCCAGGTCCAGGGATTGGGAGGAGGGCGGGCTGTGAGGGATCATGCTGTCGAACCAATCACGGTTGTCCTCCAGGTTGTCAAGTATCTCTTTGGCATCTGGATAAACCAAATCAGCCCATGTCTCCCAGAGAGGGTGCACAATGAAATCAATGAATCCAACCTAACAGGAGAAAAAGACATACAAAATCTAATCAGGGAACTGTACTGATTGGAACCAGGTATATCTTACTGACTATGAGATCCTTGATTGGCATTGTTAACCTGGGCCAAACAGGGAGCCCTGGCTGACAGAGATAAACAGGGGATTTAGAATCTCCTCTGTCGAGGCAACTAACTCTGAGTTGGCTGGCCATAGCCAGTGTACTCTGCACAAGGAAATAAACAGTGACCAGGCGACAGGATACTGGCCTCTGTGCAGTTATTCAAGAACCTTGTTACATTTTACATCATTTCTCATCTGGCTCAGTGGAACAGGCTATTGTACTCTTCTGTCCCATCAGATGGTAACATAAAAACATCAACATTCAAAGCAGGAATAGGCCATTCGGCCCTTCAAACCTGCTCTGCCAATCAATATGATCATGACTGATCATCCAACTCAGTTCTCTATTCTGCTTTCTGCCCATATCTTTTGAATCCTTGAGCCCGAAGATTGGGATTAGAATAGTTAGGTGGTTATTGACTGGCAGCGGATGTAATAGGCCAAAGGACTTTTTTCTGTGCTGTAGATCTCTACGACTCTAACTATATCTAACTCCTTCTTGGAAGCATTCAATGGCTTGGCCTCAACCACTTTCTATGGTTCAGACTCCACAGCCCATCTCTAAACTCTCCTCAAATTCTTCATTCATTAAAATACATAGCGTGAACATCACCAGCAAGGTCAACTTTTGTGTCCATCTCTAGTTGCCTTCGAGAAGCTGGTCATGAGTTACCTTCTTGAAAGCAACCAAATGGTTGCCTTGGCCAATTCAGACGGTAGTTAAGAGTCAACTGTATTGCTGTGGGTCTGGAGTCACATGTAGGCCAGACCAGGGTAGATTTCCTTCCCTAAAGGACATAGGTGATCAGTTTTTATGACGATCTGGTCACTGTTACTGATAGAAGCTATTTATTCCAAATTAATTGAAGTGATTTTTCCCAGATGTCATGGTGGAATTTGAACTTGTGTTGCCTTTAGTTGGGGTGTCTAACCTGCAAGTCCATCAAGATAACGACTATACTACTATACCCTCCTATCTTCCCATCATTGATTCCTACCCTGCTCCAAAAGCTTGTGATTTTAAATAGATCTGTTGGACTATAACCTAGTTTTGTGTGACTTCTGACTTTGTCCACCCCAACACTGGCATCTCTACATCTTGAATTTTAAGGAAAAAAAACAAAGTCTGGGAGAAACATAGCAGATCAGAAAGAATCTGTGAATAGAGACAGATTGCGTTCCGAAGAAGTGTCATACTGGACTGGAAACGTTCACTGTTTCTGTCTCCACAGATGCTACCAGATCGGCTGAGTTTCTCCAGCAATTTTTGCTTTATCTGCAGTATCTTGCTTTTGGGTCAATGTTGAATTTTAAAGGTTCTGCTCTTGTTTTTTGAATTTGAGCACTTTTCCCAACCAGAAGATGTTCCAAAATGATTAACCGTTAGTTAAACAGTTTAGAAGTGACCATTGTTACTGCAGGGCCAGCCAATTTCTGCATAGCAGAGGGGGGAGTGGTACTGCACCAGTAATCCAGAATGTCAGGCTAATGTTCTGGGGTTATGGGTTTGAATCCCACCATGCCAGATGGTGAAATATTAAACTAATAACATCTGGAATTAAAAGCTAGCCTAATGATGACCGCTGTCAATTGTCATTAAAAAAAAACATCTGGTTCACCAGTGTCCTTAAGGAAAGGCAATCTGCTGTCCTTACTCTGGTCTGGCCTATCATGTGATTCCAGACCCACAGCAATGTGTTTCACTCTTAACTTCCTTCAGAAATGGCTAAGCAAACTGTTCGGATCAAAGGGCAGTGAGGGGTGGGTGATAGATACTGGTCCAGCCAGTGATGTGCACATCCCAGGAACTGATCCCATTTTAAAAACAAATCCCACAAACAGCAGTTGGATAACCACTAGATGATTGGTCTCCAAACAGCACAGCAACAGGCCCTTCAGTCCATGATGTTGTGCCAAATACTATGCCAAATTAATCTAATCCCTTTGCACCACCAATGGTCCATATCTCTCCATTTCTTGCTCATTCATGTGCTTATTCAAAAGCCCGTTAAACGCCCCTCCTGTATGTGCCTCCACCACTACTCCAGCAGCAATTTCCAGGCATCTACCACTCTGTGTGTAAAACAAACTTGCCCCTCACATCTCCTTTGAACTTCCCCCTCTTACCTTAAGTGCACACCCCCTGGTATTAGACATTTCAACTCTGGGAAAAACATTCTGACTGTCAACCCTATCTTCACCTTTCAGAAGTTTATAAACTTCTATCAGGTCTCCCCTCAGCCTCCATCACTTCAGAGAAAACGACCTGAGTTTGTCCAGTCCCTCCTTACATCTCATACCCTCTAATCCAGGCAGCATCCTGATAAACCTTTTCTGCATCCTCTCCAAAGCTTTCACATCCTTCCTGTAATGTGGCCACCAGAACTGAAAGCAATACTCTTAAGTGCAGCCTAACCAAAGTTTCATAAAGCTGCAACATCACTTCCTGACTCTTGTACTCAATAAAGCTGCAACATCACTTCCATGCCAGTGACTGAGGAGTAAATACTGGCTAGGATACTGGACACACTTCCCTGTCCTTACTCCAAATCAGTGACCACGAGAACATTCACGTCCAGCTGAGAGTGCACACAGGGCTCTCAGCTTAAGGATTCACCCATAGTTACTTGCAACGGTGCCGAGGAAATTCACATTTAATCCTGAAAGTCTCCCGGCCAATCCTGGAAGAACGGCGACCCAAACATGCAATGATTGAATGGTTGAAGAAACAGCCAGCAGAGGGCAACTGAGTTTCAGAATAACTCTCACATAGAAACACAGAAGATAGGAGCAGGAGGACACCATTCAGCCCTTCAAACCTGCTCTGCCACTCATCACGATCATGGCTGATCATCCAACTCAGTAATCTAATCCTGCTTTCTCCCCATAACCTTTGATCCCATTCGCCCCAAGTGCTATATCTAGTTGCCTCTTGAATACATTCAGTGTTTTGGCATCAAATACTTCCTGTGGGAATGAATTCCATTTGGAATCAATTTGTTTCCAAATTGTTATTGGAAGTTATTTTAAATGGCAACAGCATACATGCCCCCCACTGCCAAGCAAAGAATCAAAACTTACCATCAATAGCTTTATTTTAACTTGTGACAGTTGATGTTCTACTTCGGGAAACAGGATTGGGGAACCTACTAAATCCTACACTGTGATGGAGCTGGATTTTTTTTTATTCATTCATGGGACATGGGTATCACTGGCTGGACCAGCATTTATTGCCTGTCCCTAATTGCCCCTTGAGAAGGCAGGAGTGATATGCCTCTTGAAACACTACAGTCCACGTGCTGTAGTGTGACCCACAATGCTCTTAGGGAGGGAATGATAGGAATTTGACCCAGTGACACTGAAAGAACAGCGATATATTTCCAAGTCAGGATGGTGAGTGGTTCAGAGGGGAACTTGCAGGGGATGGTGTTCCCATGTATCTGCTACCCTTGTCCTTCTAGATGGAAGTGGTCGTGGGTTTGGAAGGTGCTGTCTGAGGATCTTCGGTGACTTTCTGCAGTGCATCTTGTAGATAGTACATACTGCTGCTACTGAGCATCAGTGGTGAAGGGAGTCAATGCTTAGGGATGTGGTACCAATCACATCCATGGATGGTCTGAAGCTTCTTTTGAGTGATACTGGAGCTGAAAGTGCTTCCACAATGATGGCCTCAAACTCACCGACGCATGACCCACAGGCAAGAGACTCAGTCTGATCGGAAAAGGCACCCCACCAGGAAAGCTGGCTCTGGTTAGTGGCTGCCCACTCTGGTTGGGTACATTCCTGGAGCTTCCACAAAATGATGTTTGCCCCTACTGGGGTCCCCCTCCACTACAGCCAATCAGAAAACCGACACACGAGAGAAAACCTGGCTGGATGATTGTTGAAATGAACAAAACAGTCTCCTCTCCCAAATCATATTTTCTTTAAAAGTAAGAACAAAAAGTGTGTAAAGAAGAAGACAAGACAATGCAAATTAGTTGGCGCGCCTGTGAGTCTTGTCTCTCCTGCCCCACAGTGGGAGGTAACCATGGCTGGGGAGAGGGGTCTGCAGATCACATTGCTCTGCCCTCGGGGTTTCTGTCCACTGACCTGGGACTTCTCGATGGAAGCAGTGTGTTTGTCACACATGGGGCTGATTTCCATTCCCCGCTCACGCTCCTGATCTCCCTGCTGGAAAAACTCCAGCATTATTTTATCCACCCAAGTGCGGTACAGGTGCAGTGGCTTGGTGGGATTGCTCAGGTCAGCACAGTGCACCATATTCTGCAGAACCTGTGGAAAAGATCGACAGGAAGCTCAGCATAAAGTTCAACAGCAGCAATCCAGCCTAGAGTCTGTCATTACACAGACAGCACTCTCTGCAATTCTAGGTCAGTGTCTTGGGGTTGTATAACACTGGGGTACAGTACCCGGGGGGACAGGTCTGTCACTGTATAACACTGGGGTACAGTACTGGAGGGGACAGGTCTGTCACTGTATAACACTGGGGTACAGTACTGGGGGGGACAGGTCTGTCACTGTATAACACTGCGGTACAGTACTGGGGGGGACAGGTCTGTCACTGTATAACACTGGGGTACAGTACTGGGGGGGACCGGTCTGTCACTGTATAACACTGGGGTACAGTACCCAGGGGGACCGGTCTGTCACTGTATAACACTGGGGTACAGTACCGGTGGGGACAGGTCGGTCTCTGTATAACACTGGGGTACAGTGCTGGTGGGGACAGGTCTGTCACTGTATAACACTGGGGTACAGTACCGGTGGGGGACAGGTCTGTCACTGTAAAGCACTGGGGTATGGCACTGGTGGGGGACAGGTCTGTCGCTGTGTAACACTGGGGTACAGTACCGGTGGGGACAGGTCTGTCACTATAACACTGGGGTACAGCACTGTGGGGACAGGTCTGTCACTGTGCACCACTGGGGTACAGTACAATGTGATGATATAGCAGTCTGTGTTTGCCAGAATTCTGTGTGAGTGGTCAGTATTTAACTCTATGCATAGGAAATATGACCAAAAATTTTAAAATATGCAACATTTGTCGTCAAGTGATATTCCCATTTGGGGGTGGGCTCTTGGAATTTTACCGGAGGATTAAGTGGATTGTTGCATTCTGAATTTACCTGGATCCGATCGGAGTAATTATCCAGCAGTAAGACCCCTAAACTTGTAACTTTCTTGGTTTCCACCATTGTCTTCAAGTCTGCTAACAAGTTCATGTGTTTGGTCATGTCTGTTGCCAGGACCTAGATCAGGAGAGAGCACTGTTAGAGAAGAAGGGAGATAACAACTGCTAAAACAAATCCAGGTTCCCTGTCAGTGACGGACTTGCACCATTGGGGAGGACATCTCCTTCAGACAGAGCTGACTCTCCATCAGAAATCTCCTTTCAATGGAGGAGTTTGACATTTGGATGTGGCCAGAGATTCATCATTTTCAACTTCTGGAGATGCCACGAGGATGGAACTATTGTAGACAGGTAAAAGACAAAGCCATCATCATCATCATCATCATCATCATCTCATTAGAGAAAGACGGCTGGTGCTGGTTTAACCTGAGAGTCACCACGCCTCAGGCGAGGGGAGAGGTTGAGAAGGAGGGACCTTCATGGTGACCTCAGCCAGGGATTGAACTGAACCTTGTTGATGTCACTCTGCATCGCAAATCAGCTGCGCAAACAACTGAGCTAAACGTTATAACTCAAGAGAATTCAAAGCTCATGAGATATTGCTAATTCTTTGAGTGCCAGTCAAGGATGTTGCGAGGGTCGGAGGGTTTGAGTTATAGGGAGGGGCTGAATAGGTTGGGGACATTTTCCCTGGAGCTTTGGAGGCTGAGGGGTGACCTTATACAGATTTATAAAATCATGAAGGGCAAGTATAGGGTGAATAGCCAAGGTCTTTTCCCCAGGGTGAGGGAGTCCAAAACTAGAGGGGCATAGGTTTAAGGTGAGAGGGGAAAGATTTAAAAGGGACCCACGCGTAACATTTTCACACAGAGGGTGGTGCGTGTATGGAAATGAGCTGCCAGAGGAAGTGGTGGAGGCTGGTACAATTACAATGTTTAAAAGGCATCTGGATGGGTATGTGAATACAAGGATTTTGAGGGATATGGGACTAGATTAATTTAGGATATCTGGTCAGCATGGACGAGTTGGACTGAAGAATCTGTTTCTGTGCTGTATATCTCTATGACTCTACGCCAAGCACTGAAGAGAGGAGGGATTTCTGCATAAATTAGAGAAATGCAATCGATTATCTAGACATAGGGTGAACTTATCAAACTTATCAAAAATCAGAGACAAAGTGAATAGAACATTATTTCAAGGTGATTCAGAAGGACATGAATTTAATTTGAGGAAAACTACTGAATTGGGAGACAAGATTGACAAGCGAATTTGGTCTTTGCCAGATTTTAGAGGGAAGTGGTTTTTCTACTCACCATGTCGATTGTCATTTTGCGAAGGTTCTGAAACTGCTTGTTACTCAGGTTCTTAAAGATGTTGCAGTTTTCCTTCTGCAGCAATTTAAAACCCACAGCCAAATGGTGGTTCTCCAACACTGAGGTGTCATTATACATCAGTGCTAATTCCGAATCTGCACAACACAATGGAGAAATGAGGGATTGAGGGAGGCAGTGTGATAGAGGAAGACAGCAAGAGAATGACAAGAGGAGGCAAAAAGATAAAAGGGTTAGGTGGGATTGGCCCAGTGAGACAAGGGACAGACGAGATGGGGAAACAGATAGGTGGAGGACAGGTTGAGCCAGAGACAAATTCAAGGTGAGATGGGAAAAGATAGGCAACAAAATTGAAGGTTGAGGAGATTAGGAGAGGCAAAAAAGAGTCAGTCAGAAAAGAGAAAAGATGTGATAGTGTGATGGGGTGAAAAGTGGGAGAAAACAAATGAAGGGAGATAGATGGGAAATCAGATAGATAGAGAAAGGGACAACAGAGATAGAAGGAAATAAGTAAATGTGTAGTCAGTCCAGACAGAGGTGGGGAAGACAAGAAACAAATTCAAAAAGTAATTACCACAAATAAATTGCATAAAGAAACCAAGTTCCATATATAGAAGATTGCTCACTCCTGCAATATATTAAAAACAAAACCAACCAGCTTTCCAGAGAAAATAAATCATAACCAGGATTTTGAAAATTCTAGATGGAGGAAGAGTTACAGTGAGTTACAACCCGGAATCTAACAGAGAAGTTCGGGGCCTCCTATAGAATATGAGGTATCCCTAAATGAGTTACAGGCTGAAATCTCATTGAAGGGGTTCTGATGGTTTATACTCAGGAGTAAACCTTTGTGTCTTCAGTGATCTTGGAACAGTACTCACTGGTATTAATGAGGAACTGATTTGAGACTCCTGGATGGTCAACATCATGGATTGCCGAGGCAAAAATCGCAGCCAATATCTCAAGATCTGTGAAGACTGCCTGAAAGAGAGTCAGGGAGAAATCAATTTGCTCAATTTCAGGAAAGATCAGCACATTATCCAAGAGTCCTGGGAAGCATCCATATATTCCCTTCTGTTCCTTGATTCTATTTGGCATCAACTTGTTGCTGAGACTCCTGGTCATCCCACATAAAGGTGGTCATTCCAATATTTTAGAATGTCTTTATTAAATGTCCTCATTCCCAGCATTCCCTGTAGGACAATCCCATTACAGAGATTCCACGTTCTTGAGAAACCAGTAAGCTTCACACAGTCATGGAGGAGAGATCACATCCAGAGTGAAACACAGCACGAGTGAATAAAGAGTTTTTTTTTATTATTCATTGACAGAATGAGGGCATCGCTGGCTAGGCAGCATTTATTGTCCATCCCTAATTGCCCAGAGGGCAGTTAAGAGTCAACCACATTGCTGTGGGTCTGGAGTACATGTAAGCCAGACCAGGTAAGGATGGCAGTTTCCTTCCCTAAAGGACATTAGTGAACCAGATGGGCTTTTCCAACAATCTACACTGGATTCATGGTCATCATTAGATTCTTAATTCCAGATATTTTACTGAATTCAAATTCCACCATTTACATTAGTGGGATTCGAACCCGGGTCCCCAGAATATTATCTGGGTCTCTGGATTAACAGTTCAATAATAATACCACAAGGCTATTGCCTCCCCAAGAGTGAGGGAGCTCATTGCCCCTGGGTAGGTTCGAACCACTAACCTTCTGGTTAACAGCTGAGCACACTAACCGATTGCGCCACAGAGACAAACAAACAGCATTGCAGGACAGAATTCAACTCACCCCAGATGGGACTTGAACTCATAATCCCTGGTTTAGGAGGTTAGCGCCTTATCCATTAGGCCACTGGGGCTAATTTTGGGGAACTTGGAAGCAGTGCGGGAATTCAACGCATAGCACAGAGGTGCTTTTCGCTTTTTTGGCTCGAAGTTTGTAAACTCTTTTACAGGATTGGGAGCCCAGCACAAAACGGAGAGTGACATCATGGAGAAACTGTTAAGTTCATTGATTGGTCAACGCTACTAATTTGACCATCTGTTACAGGTTACTTTCAGATTGAAGGCAAATAGGGGAAATATTTCCAGCTTACAAACTAAAAGACCAGTAGGAACAGTTGTTTGTTTGCTCGCCGAACTGGTTGTTCCATGTGTACAGACGTTTCGTTACCATTCTAGTCAACATCATCAGTGTGACCTCTAATTGAAGTGTTGGTGTTCTGTTTCCTTCCAGATTTATATGATCCTCTGGTGTGCTGATCTTGTCACTTCCAGTTCTGTTGTTTTGGTCTGTATACGGGGTCTATTTCTATGGTGTTTGTTAATGGAGCCCTGTGTTGAGAGTCAGGCTTCCAGAAATTCCCTTGCAGATCTGGTGTTCATTTGTCCCAGTCGAACTGACGGCCCTCATTGTCTGTGTATATTGAGACAAGTGTATATTGGTTGTGTCTTTTTACTGCCAGCTGGTGTTCATGTATCCTGATCGTCAGCTTCCTCCCCGTTTCCAATGCAATGTTAATCACACTCACTGCATGGAATTCTGTATAGCCCATTGGTCTTGTTTACTGGCGGTACGGGGTCTATAGTCTTTGATAACATTTGGTGCAGAGTTGCTGTAGGTTTGTGTGCAATCACGATCTTATGCGGTCTATGGAGTCTGGTAGACATTTCTGACATATTTTTGATGTAGGGTAGCATTGCTAGTGTTGTCTGTTGTCCTGTGCCCTCTGACTGTCGTTTGTTTTGTAGACATCTGTGGATGAGACTTCTTGGGGATCGTTGTCGGTGAAAACATTGTGTAGCTGTTCCTCTTCCATTCTCCGGAGTTCTGAGGATTTTCAGTGTGATGCAGCTCATTTAAATAATGTCTTGATGCAGCTCTGTTTGTGTATGGTGGTGTGGTTGCTATTGAAGTTAAGGATTTGGTCCGTGTTTTTGTGGCCTTCCTGTATACTCGGGTCTGGAATTCACCGTTAGTCATTCTCTCTACCATTACGTTTAAGAACGGGAGCGGTTTGTTGTTTTCTTCCTCTCTGGTGAAAATTATGTTCGTGAAGATGTTATTGACAAGTTGGTGGGTTTCTTCTACTTTCATGCATTTGATCAGAGAACACGGTACAACGGACGACACAAGCAACGCTACCCTACATCAAAAATATATCAGAAATGATTACCAGACTCTTCGCATAAGATCGTGATTGCACACAAACCTGCAGCAACTCTGCACCAAATGTTATCAAAGACTATAGACCCCACACCGACAGTAAACAAGACCAATGGGATATACAGAATTCCATGCAGTGAGTGTGATAAACATTGCCTTGGAAACAGGGAGGAAACTGACGATTAGGATACACGAACACCAGCTGGCAGTAAAAAGACACGACCAATATACACTTTCTCAATATACACAGACAATGAGGGCCGTCAGTTCGACTGGAACAAAGTGACCGTACTGGGAGAAGCGAGCACCAGATCTGCAAGGGAATTTCTGGAGTCCTGGTTCTCAACACGGGACTCCATTAACAAACATAGAAATAGAACCCGCATACAGACTGCTGCCAAAACAACAGAACCGGAAGCAACAAGCACACCAGAGGATCATATAAATCTGGAAGGAAGCAGAACACCAACGCTTCAATTAAAAGTCGCACTGATGATGTTGCCTAGAACGGTAACGAAACATCTGCACACCACTGAACAACCAGCTTAGCGAGCAAACAAACAAACAAACTCACGCACAACCCGAGCTACAAATTTTCGCTAAGACCTTAAAAGGCCAGTAGGAAATTTTTAAAAATCAAATTAAAAACAATGCGATTAAAATTGAGGCCAGCTGATGTAAGTGCATGATGTGGGATCTGGTGGACCCCATTGTGACCACATCTGTAGCACGCGTTGGTTGTTTGAGGAGCTCTGGCTCAGAGATGATGAGCTGGAGCCTGAGCTTTAAACACTGCGACACTTCAGGGAGTGGGAAAAGAGTTACCTGGACCTTGTGTTTCAGGAGGCAGTCACAACCCCTTGATTAACTGCTGGCCTAGCCAGTGATGCCCTCATCCCGTGAATGAATAATAAAAAAAAACTACTTTGAATTTGGTCAGTGGTCAGGGACAGGAGGGTGTGACTATGACTGAGGCAGGTAGAGGGATCCAGGAAATAGTGCTGAAGGAGCCTCAGCCCTGGAGCCCTGTCTAACAGGTTTGTGATTCTTGCTCCCTGCGTGGGTGAGAGAGGGGGCTGTAGGAAGGATGAGCAAACTGACCATAGCTCAGTCGTACTGGGAGCCATTCAAGAGGAAGTAAAGAGAAATTGAGTGTCCGAGAGGCTGGGTTGCCTGCCTTGTGCTCAGCTTCAGAATCTCTCATCTGGGCTGCAGACGAACCTGAAGTGTGAGGGGGAAAGTACAGTTATCGTGGTCCACATAGGTTCCAGTCATATCGGTAGAAAGAGGAAAGTGGTTCTGCTGAGGAAATTTGCGGAGTTAGGGTCTAAATTAAAAAGCAGAATCAAGAAGTTAGTAATCTCTGGATTACTACATGAGCCACAGGCAAATTGGTACAGGGTCAACATGAATAAAGAGGGAAACACATGGCTTAAAGATTGGTGTGGGAGAAATGGGTTCAAATTCATGGGACATTGGCACCATTACTGAGGAAGGAGGGAGCTGTTCCAACGGGACAAACTCCACCTGAATCACGCTGGGACCAGAGTCATTATATGGAAAACATATGGGGGGGAAGCTCAGCAGAATCACTGTTTCCAGAACAAGTAACAAGGCAGAAAGTATGTAAAGGGTGAGGAATCTAACTTCAGGCACAGCAGAAAAGGGAACAAATATGAGAAGGGGGACAGTCAACACAGGACTGAGGATATTGTACTTAAATACATGCAGTATACAAAACGAGGTAAATGAGCTCGTAGTGCACATTGAAATTGGCAGGTACAATGTTGTGGGTCAGGGTCAGGGTCAGCGTCAGGGTCAGGTCTCTGTGATATGGTTGCAAGGGCTCAGAACTAAATATCCAAGGATACTTGTCCTATTGAAAGGATGGGCAGACGGACACAAGGTTGGGATTGCCTTGTTGGTAATAAATTAAAATTAAATCAATAGCAAGAAATGATAGAGTCAGAAGGTGTAAAATCTGTGTGGGTAGAGTTGAGGGACCGCAAAGGGAAAATACCCTGATGGGAGTTACGCACAGGCCTCATAGTTGTAGTCAGGATATGGGGAAGAAAATAAATCAGGAGGTCATAGAATAGAATCTCCAGTGTGGAAGCAGACCATTTGACCCACACCACCCATCTGAACAGCGTCCCACCCAGAACCACCCCCCTACCATATCCCTGTAACCCTGCTTTTCCCACAGCTAATCCACCAAGCCTGCACGTCCCTGGACATCATGGGTAATTTAGCACGGCCAATCCGTCCTAACCTGCACATGTTTGGACTGTGGGAGGAAACTCACGCAGACAGTCACCGGAGGCTGGAATTGAACCCGGGTCCCTGGCGCTGTGAGGCAGCAGTGCTAACCACTGAGCCACTGTGCCACACCTAGTAGTGACGCCCACAATTTCAGGAATGGTGGAAATGGAATACATTCATCCCTCTGAAGTTACAAACAAGACAATTCCAAATCAGTTGACACTCACCTCTAATGCCGGTGATCGAAGCAAGACGTGGGTGGACTGAGCCACATCAGCAGCGTGGTAATTGTTGTGGTAGCTCACATCGGGATGGTAGTGATCTTCTAGTGTTATCATGTAGGTGATAAAAATTAAGGGTGGAATCCTAAATATCTTTAGGAGATTTCGCTCCTTCAAAGAGAGAGAAAAGAATGGATGTTCAGTGAGCAGCTGAGTTCTTTCATTGACACAGAGTCAACATTATTTTGTAAAACTCAAACAAGATTTGCTTCATAATTTTCCCTGACAATTTACAATGTCTGGAATTAAATCCAAGAATTCCAGAAAAATAAAAAAAAAAGGACAAATTGTCTGGCCTATGCTAGCTCAAAAAAAGTTGAAAACAATTCAACACAATCAGTTGGGCCCACAATCAAAGCACAGGCAGTTTTTTTTTTAAATTTATTCATTCACGGGATGAGAGTGTTGCTGGCTAGGCAGCATTTATTGCCCATCCCTAATTGCCCAGAGGGCAGTTGAGAGAAAACCACATTGTGGTGTGTCACGTGTAGGCCAGACCAGGTAAGGATAGCAGTTTCCTTCCCTAAAGGACATTAGTGGACTAGATGGGGTTTTTATGACAATTGACAATGGATTCATGGTCATCATTAGATTCTTAATTCCAGATATTTTATTGAATTCAAATTCCACCATCTGCCATGGCGGGATTTGAACGTGGGTCCCCAGAACATTATCTGGCTCGCTGGATTAACAGTCCAGTGATGATACCACTAGGCCATCACCTCGCCCGGTTACATCAAGAGTGCTAAAGTGAGGTTGGGAGCTGTCTTTTCCCCTGCAAGCTTGTCATGCTGTAGAACCTGCTAGCTGAGGGCACTGTAGCAGACAGTGTCAATCGGGTGAGAAAATACATAATGTCTTTCCGTGTAGAGCTTTCTAATTTATTGATGAGATCAATAGAACGGAAGAGAGCTGCAAAACCAAATTTGTCAATGACATAAAGACTTGGTGACATTTGGAAAAGTGTGGACTGGACCCTAAAATTACAATGAGCCATTGAAAGGTAAAGCGACCAGGCAAAATTATGGCAAATGGATTTCAACAGCGTAGATTTATCCATCTTGGACCAAAACTGAAAAGAAATTCCAATATTTTTTCAAGCAATGGATAGTGGAAACCCAGAACATTTAGAGATCCATGTTCACAGATCTTTAAAATATTGTGGCCAGGTAGAATAAAAAATAATAAAATGTGCTCACGGTGTATTGGCCTGGCCCAAGGGCTAGAATATAACTGGAGCAAGATTTGTTAAGTCAGTAATAAACATCTGGCAGAGCACAGGAGGAGAATTGCTGCAGATCTGGGCAGTTCATCTTCGATAGGATATATTGGCTTCTGAAAGAGTGCAGTTCACAATCACTGAGGTTTGATTCTATAAAGAAATTAGATGTACTAACAGTTTTATAAACCCTAGAATACAGGAGCTTTAAGGGGTGATTTTATTCAACTTTTAAGGATTTAAATTGGAACAAATTTGTGTCAGTACAGAAAAACTTCTATCACTGCTGGAGGGAGTTCAGTACAAGGAAACATTAAAAACTGAAAGAACTGCGGATGCTGTAAATCAGGAACAAAAACAGAAGTTGCTGGAAAAGCTCAGCAGTTCTGGCAGCATCTGTGAAGAAAAAAATCAGAGTTAACATTTCAGGTCCGGTGACCCTTCCTCAGAATTTGGAAATATTATCTGAGCCAGGCCATTCATGACAGAAGTTAAATAATTCTTTAGCCAAATGTTGATTGAAATATGCAATTCCTTACCACCAAAAGCTAGCTAAATTGATTATTTTAAATCTAGAATCGATCGAAATTTGCTGCAATAAAAGCAGAAATTGCTGGAGAAACTCAGCAGGTTTGGCAGCATCTGGAGAAAGAAAAACAGTTAGAGTCACACTGGCCTCAAAACATTAACTCTGTTTCTCTCTCCACAGATGCTGCCAGACCTGCTGAGATTCTCCAACACTTCCCGTTTTTATTTCAGATTTCCAGCATCCGCAGTGCATTTTACTTGAATTTTGTTGGAAATGGGTGTAAAAGGATTTGCAGTCTGGGCAAGTGGATGAAATTAAAATACAAATCAGCCACTGTCTCAGTGAATGGGAGAGTAGATTGAGGGGCTGAATGGCCTTTTCCTGTTTATTTGTGGATTCACAAGGTCAGGTGAGACCTGTCAGGAAAATGGGACAGGGCTGTTGGAGCCTGGAAGACCTTTTATTCTGTTCTATAAATTGTTGTTGTCCCTAGATTGATGTACGTAGTGTAGAGTCTGAAAATGTAAGTGGTGTTACTCTTCACCTGTACAGTGTGAATCACCATTCACCCCACGGTCTACGAAATAGCCTTTGTCATGTCATGGTTTCTGCAACTGCACACAAGGCCTGGTTAGGCTGGGATTCAGCAGAATTCTCCAAGAATTAAAAATTAAACTCTGCGATGTTAGTACTACAGGGACGTCAAAACAAAATGAGGCAGGCTTTCAGACCTAGAGATGAAATGATCATGGAGGAAGATTAAGTTTGGGCAAAGGCAGTCTCATTGATCATGAATCTTAGATAACATAATATTCTCCATTTGGCCTGGATTGGGTTGGGGAGGGTGGTGGTTGGGGGTGTGGGGGTGTTGGAAGATGGTAACCACATGGATAGACATGGCAGATGACCAATGCCAAGAGTTGGAGGTCATGACTCCTCCCAAAGTGTTGGCAACCCTGGTATACCAGTTACAGGCATCATATCCTCCAGGTACCACTCCAATGCTGGATACACCTGTACCCCTATCACCCTGCAGGGTCCTCCTGAGCACTCAGCACTCCCACTGGATGCCAAGACTGCCCACTGATTCTGGAAAATCTGCCCAGGATCTTCCTAGAGATGGGAATATTTCCAGCATTAGGCTGAAGTCAGGTCACAGGGAAATACAGATGTTCAGGATGGTGGTACTCAGTGAGATCCGGCTGAACCTTCCTGAGATTAACACAGCACACTGTCAGTGGTCTGACAAAGGGTCAGTGGATTTGAAACGTTAACTCTGTTCCTCTCACGACAGATGCGACCAGACCTGCTGTGTTTCTCCAGCACTTTTTGTTTTTCTTTCAGATTTCCAGCACCAACAGTTCTCTGTTTCGTATTACTCAACACTGTCACCTCGTGGATTTGAATGAACTATCATCCACGGGATTTTACTAAGCAAGTGGGCTCCAAAATACGTAATCACAAAGACACACAAAATATATTCAAAAAGATTTTCCTTTACCTTAAAGATGGCGTACATAGCAACAGTCAATGGTCGTTGGTTGGAATATTCTCCCACCTTAAAGATATCCAAACCCCAACTGTTGATATTTGACAATTCCTGGAATAGGATAAATCAGAATTGGTTAGTAATCATGGTGATGACACAGAATCAGAGCTCTGATTAGACACATTTGTCATAGTTTCTTTTGTCTGTCTTGCCTTGGTGTCACACTTCAAATGTCAGGTTCAACTTCTATGCAATTTTTCAGAAACAGCTATGGACAAAGTAGGGAAGGTGCTGGGTCATGAGTAACAACAGCCACAATATGTGAAGTCTATTGAGTGGACTCATACCAATTCAGCACTTACTGAACAGCTGTTTGAGTTGCAGCTCTTAAGAGAATCTAGACCTACAAAGAATATGCCAAAATGCTTCTGAACTTAAGAGAACTGCACAGAGACTTAGCATGAAGGGGGTACATTTTTAAAACGAGAGGAGAGAGATTTAAAAAGGGCATGAGGGGCAGATGTTTTACACACAGGGTGGTTCACGTGTGGAATGAACGTCCTGAGGATGTGGTGGATATGGGTACAGTTACAATGTTTAAAAGACATTTGGATAAGTACGTGAATAGGAAAGATTTGGAGGGAAATAGACCAGGAGCAGGCAGGTGGGACTAGTCTAGCTCAGGATTATGTTCGGCATGGATTGGTTGGACCAAAGGGTCTGTTTCTGTGCTGTATGACTCTATGATACATTGAAGTGACACATTAGGACATGCAGGTTTTGTTACAGAGGCAAGAATATTTGTGCCAGGTGCTTCTCTTTTACAGAGTGAAAGTGACTTCTGTTTTTCAATCCACAAAGTCCACTGACTAAGTAAACTAGAGTTTACTTTGGTAGCAATTTCAACAACTTGCATTTGCATTGCATCTTTAATGGGTGGCTTCACAGGAGCACTATACAGAAGCTCCAGATGGTGATGTAAGGGCAAGTGACCAAAAGCTTAGCCAAAAGCAGAGGTGCTAAGTAATGTCTCAAAGAAGCAGGGTGAGAGAGAGAGACAGAGACAGAGAGAGATGTGGAGAAGATTAATGAGGGAATTCCAGGTTTAGGGTTGAACAAATAGCCACCGATAGTGGAGTGATTAAAACTGGGGATGCTCAATAGGCCTGAAATAAGGCAACATGGAAATCTCTGAAGGTATATGTCCAGAGGAGATTACAGACAGAGAGATCTGAGAGAGTTTGAAAGCAATGGTGAACATTTTTTAAAGTTGAGGTGATGCTTCACCAGGAGCTAATGAGGGTCGGTGAGCTCAGGGCGATATGCGGATGTGAGTAAACACCGGCAGAGGAATTCTGGATGACCTCAGGTTTAGAGGGAACATGGCGAGTTAGCCACACGCGAGATGGGACAATAGAGTTTATAGAGAAAAAGGACACAGTTGAGGGTACAGCAGAGTACGAGCTGAGACAGAAATGTAGTCGGGGGATATTTTGGAGGTGGAAGGGAGCGGTCTTAGTGATGGCTCAGATAAGTGCTTAATAACTCACCTCAGATCAAATATGGCACAAAGTTATGAGCCAGTTGTTTCAGCCTCATATAATTGTCAAGGAGAGGGATACATTGGTGGTCAAGCGTTCAGTTTGGAGTAGAGATTGAGATAGACACTGGTATAATTACAAACAAACAGAGAGTCTACAAAACTGTCCTGGGGGTGTTTGATGGGGATAGTGTAGAGGGAGTTTTACTCTTTATCTAACCCCATGTTCTCCCTGTCCTGGGTGTGTTTGATGGGGATGGCATAGAAGGAGCTTTACTCTGAACTGAGACGTCTCTGACTTATCACATTTATAATTCTCCATTTGAGACAAACTATGAAAATAAAGTTTTTATTTGTTTCGTTACCTGCTCTAGCTCAGGTTCCTGGTCAGAATTGACTCCAAGGCGGGGAACATCCACAGAGATGACACTCGTGCTGTATTTCAGACCACTGATTTGTCTCATGGGCTCCAGCTTGTCTCTTGGGCTTGTCTGTGATATATCTAATTCATGCGGTTTGTCTTGACAGGAGGAAACACAGATTTAGCAATTAAATGTAAAACAATCAGAGACAAATCATTGTGGATCATGCTAGCTGCCCTTCAGGTTGGGCTGAACTACAGTCGCACAAGCCTATAGAACTGGGGAGGGGAGGTGAAATTTCCCAATGGAATATTCACCAGGAACTGTGGAATCCCAGGTTCAAAGCCAGGGCTCAGCCATCCCTGGGATTTGGAAATCTGGGAGCAGAACTCCAATGCACTAAGAACTCTTGGCCATTCAAAGCAGTGGGTATTAGCAGGATAGCACACAGGCTAATGTCCAGCATTCCTGAGGAGCCCAGGTCAAAGGAAAGGACAGCTGGATAAGGTTCAGAGGTGGGGCTTGTGGATGGGATCAGGGGCTTCAACAGGGGCCTATTTCTCAGTGTCAGGTCCCTTAGTCAAACTCCCAGAAGGCCACAGGCAAACCTTACAGGGCTCACTGCTCATTCAATCTGCAGGGGCAGGATAAGGCATTAATTGACCACTTAAGGGCCTCGTTTAGCACTGGGCAGGCTATTGACAAGCTCTCATGTCCTGAACTTGAGACAGGGAGACAGTGCATACCCATTCCACACCCTCCCATCTCAGGAGAACAGTACACCCAATGTACAAAATCTCTTCGTAACTTTAAATATCTCCATTTGGTCACCTCTTAGTGATTGTCAAGAAAAGAATCAAACTCTGATCAGTCTTTCTTGATAGCTATAACCTCAGTTCCTTTTGCAGTCCATTGATTTTCATTATTTATATCAACGATTCCGATGTAAATATAGGAGGTGTGGTTAATAAGTTTGCAGATGATACCAAAACAGGTGGTGTAGTGGACAGTGAAGAAGATTATTTCAGAGTGCAACAGGATCTTGATCAGATGGGCTAATTGGCCAAGGAGCAGCAGATAAATGTGAGGTGATGCAAGTAATACTAAGGAAAACCAATGGGAGAAATACAGAGATTGTGGAGAATTGTGATGCTGGAGGACATTAGAGAGACACGGGGGTAATAGAAAGCAAAGATGAAAATTTTAAAACTGAGGAGCTGCTTGAGCGGCAGCCAATGCAGGAGCATGGTGAATAGGACTTGATAAGAGTTAGGGCACAGGCCATAGACCTTCATGTTTATACAAGGTGGATGATGTGCTTTGCAATGGTTGAGCCCAGAGAGAAGAACAGTATGGATGATGGTTTCAGCAGGAGATGAGCTGAGGTAGTCAGTTTGTTCACAAGTATCTCCAATAAAGGATTCAGTCTTTGGTGGAGGGATAGTATTTGGCCAGGACATTATGGAGAACACCGTGGACTTCTTTGAAATAGTGGCCATGGGATGCTTTATATCCACTTACAACAGCAGATGGAGCCTCAATTTGTCATCTGGAAAATGGCTCCCTCAACTGAGCAGCATTCTCTCAGTACAGCATTGTGAGTTTCAAACAGGAAGGTGGGCTCAAGCTCACACACTGCTGTCTGAGAGCAGGAGGAAACATTAAACACTGAGCCACACACGTGCATGTAGATTCTGGGCATTACACACACTCACCTAAAAACATTGTGGATATGAACTCCGAGACCTGGTTTCCAGAACGGCTCATTTCAGACAACTGGGTTAACTCTCGGTTCAGCATCCTCTTAAACTGTTGAGAGAAGCAGAGTAGCTTGTTATATACACTTTCCGACAGCTTCTGGGCAACAAATGCTGAACTAGCCAGTGACATCCTCATCCCATGATTGGAATAACAAAAAAAAAAGGCTGGCGCAGTGACGATGGGCCGAGTGGTTTCCTTCTGCACTGTAATTCCATAAGACTTCCATTGGGAACTCCTAACTGCATCCCGTCACCAGAGATTGGTCCTTACCTTAGTGCAGGGGACAGGGAAACGGGGCAGGGGAGGAGGGCAGGCGTGGGAGATTTCAATCCCAATTTCTGCAGTTCGACGTTCCCAACCACATGGGGGTTGAGAGTCAGTTGGCTGACAGCTGGGGTTTAGGTGTCTCACTGGTTCCGAGCACATGGGCTGAATAAGGAAACAGGGGGCTGTTCGGTCTTGTTGCCCTGATTGTGGGGAGGGTTGGGAGTATGAGATACGGTGCCCCCCCCAACCTCCGCACAACGGACTGGCTCAGGAGACGGAGCTTTCACAGCGACCATCGGGTAAACTGGAGACCAACTTGTTCCACCATTATGTCTCCGTAAGACCATTAGTCATAGCAACAGAGTGGGCCATTCAGCCCCTTGAGCATGCTGTGCCATTCAATGGGACCATGGCTGATCTGACATTCCTCACATCCACTTTCCTGCCCTTTCCCTTTAACCCTTGATTCCTGACTGACCAAGAATGTAACTCAGCCTCAGATATACACAAGGCAGAGGAGGAAAATCAACCTCAGCGCTTACTCATTGTGCTGTCAACCTTTACCAGGTTGTCCCCACAGCTGTCTCTGGCAAGGAGTTCCAAAGACTCACAATCCTCCGAGAGAAGAAATTCCTTCTCATCTCAGTCTTAAATTGGTGTCCCTTTATTCTGAGACTGTGCCTCTGGTCCTAGACTCTCCCATGAGGGGAAACATCCTCTCAGCATTTACCCTGTCAAGCCCCTTAAGAATCTGATAGGTTTCAATGAGCTCTCTTCTCATTCTTCTCAATTCTAGTGAGTGGAGTTCCAACCTGTTTAGCCTTTGCTCATAAATTTGATAGAAAGTTTTACATGATTGTTAATCTGATTACATCTCAGTGACAAGCCTTGAAGATGAGGAATTACTTTGAAACGAGTCAAGCAACCAGAGATTCAGTACACAGCAAGATCCCAGTGACACAGGGAAACTGATTAGTCCTTTTATCGTTAGGATGGGACAGCGGTTTGAATGATGAATATTGGATTTGGGGAGAACTCTCCCTGCTCTTCTCAGATATGGGGGCCAGGGGATGTTTTAAAATTCATTACAAAAGGGTGGAGCGGTCCTCTGTTTAAGGACTCATCCAAAAAAATGCGGCGCTCCCTCGGCACTGACCCTCCCACAGTGCGGCGCTCCCTC